AACAAACAAGTCAAACTACTGGAAACTATCTTCAGACGAAGATCAGCTCGTGATTTATGGTTTATTCGTTTCTTTAGCACCACAAACTCGACTACTTACTCAAAAGGACTTCCTAGTCGCTTGGTAGTTCCATTACTAGTTTTGGATTTCCCTTTATATTAACAGTCGTTGGTTTTTTAACCCAATATTTTAGTGTTAGCCATCATCCCTGAATCATTCTTAGATTCGTTATTTCAGTTTTTTTTTAGCTATTTTCCTTTTATTTCGTTATTTTTTATTTGGGATTCATTTGTAGGCCACAAACACAGAATTCCCTTTCGTTCACTTTGCTTCCAAAGACAGTATCCATACCAGAGTGTTCAGAGTCATTCAACGATCTTTACAAGGATATCCGAATCTTCACCATGGGCCTACCAGTGCACCGATTTCGTGTCAGTGTTAGCAATTGGCGCATTGTTGGTTCAGTCCTAGCACGCAGTATGAAACCCATGAGTGGAGATTTTTGAAAAATTCGATGGCTAAACATGGCCGTTCTTACGGGACACAGATGTATTGCACTATGGTTTATAATGCTGCTCACATTAATATCCGTTGTAATATATTTGGTAAGCATTTAAAGTCCTTATAGTCAAATTTATCTCATTGGCGTTTTATTTTATTGCTGCAGCGTTCATTGTCTTCTGGCTTTTCATACTAAATTATTATTTTGTTCGAAATAATGGAAAATATCCCGAGATTTATTTTGATATTTGAGCCATTTTTGAGCCACTCATGCTTTTTGTAGGCAAAATGGTTTCTTATTTTCAGGATGGAGGCTTTGACAAGCAACCCTATCTTATGTTTGTACTATTTGCAATAGCGGATATTCTGTACGTCTCATCAATCTTTTGGTCAATGCTATCAACTACATCGTTCACAATGCCTCAGAACTATAGCCATCTGTACAGCTATCTGTACTTTCATCGCGACAAAGTCATACAACTAAGTAAGCATTAGTTATTTTGTAGCTACAGTGTCTTAAGGCCTTAAGGTGAGACCGCGCAGGACAAATATGGTTCTCAGAGTTCAAAGTTTTTAATTCGTTGGAAAGGTGCTTTACTAGAACGAAACTTGCAAATTTCATGCGTTAATGTTTCCGCCATGAGGCGTTTTTCCTCAGATCTACAGAACAATCATGGCTGAACTCACGGAATCTTCACACAAAGCTGTGGAGAGAGTCTCGTATTAACGAAACACGTGGAAGTTATTCAGTGTTGTCGCGTTAAAACTTTTTCTTCCACTTGAAAATTCTTTCTCCGTTTCCCAGATTTGTACAAATCCTCCAGAGCTCCCTCGTTAAGGCGCACGAGGCACACTGGTTTTAGTGATGCCGCCAGAACCCCAATCCCCCTCTTCAGCAGCTGCTATGTATCGGGGAGACGGTCAAGACAATCGTAATTTGCGTGCGGCAAGCAGCACTGCATCTCCCTGTGTTTGCGTCAGCCCTGTGTCGAACTGGAGCATTCATCGATCCCATGTACGCAACACATCTCAGACATTTGATGGGGTTTTCAGCAATGCATTGTCCTGTTGTGTCGCTAGTACGAACCTAGAAAATGTTACTTGGGAGCGCGCGATGTGCGCACATGGACGCCCACCAGCAGCGCCAGTTCACGATTTGTCATGTCGACCGTATTCGCGTACAAGAAAGCGTTACGCTCCACAAAAGGCAGGAAAAACCGTGAAAAGTCAACAAATAAGATTTTTTTTTATATTTTTTTTCATGAGCAAGTGCGTTCCCCTTTCCCCTCCATCCAACTAGCGAGACGACGGAATGCGATTCCCTTGGTCTCCAACGTGCCTTGCTCCCTGCTGCTCTGCTAGTTTTCGCACATCACTGCCTCGGGATGCAAAGTCCCAAATTCACATGCCTTGCTACTTGGAAGTAAAGGTATTCAGAGGGGAACCACGCGACAACACCCTTTTGATTTGGCTTGCCTTTTCGAGGCCTTAAAAATATTCATATCATTTTTTGTCGTTCTCGTATTCCGAGAGAAAGCGAGGACAACAGACATGGGGTGGCATAGCTGTATCGGCGGGTGCTCCTTTCCCCTCTCCCCTCTACTCAGCGATTTGATAGTGAAAGTAAACCTTCCGTGTTGTCCAAAATGCAACAGACTAACTCATTCCACCTCACACGGGAGTGTAGCTGTATGCAGCAAGCTATAAAATTCGAGCATATTTCGATAAAAAGTCTATTAGACAATCGATTTCGTTCATAAAATATTTCTGCCAAGAATACGATTATATGCGCAAAACTCAATAAATTTCAGTTGGGTTCCTGCTGAAAATCACATTCGAATGCTTCCTATTTGCCAAGATCGTACTCCATAAAGAAGTACCCCTGTTCATGTTATTGTCACCATTATGGATTATACTCGCCATTGTTATAGTTGATCTCAGCAAACGGATATATTCAATACAACAAAGTTGATGTACATATATTTGTCACTTTTCCATTCTAATAAAGACGGGCTATTCGGATCTTGTGACAATTGCAAGCGGAAAAGAGCTTCAATTTCAACAAGGAAAAGGTGATAAGTCGCAGTGACCATTCGAAACGAGATGTGCACCATTTGATA